TTGGATATTTTTGATGTGAACTAGCATAATGTTTGTCATTCCTTCACATTCCACGTTGGAGACGTAAATGTAACTGAGGCCAGTTGCTGGTCACTCTAAAGAGGCCTTACATCCCAGCAGACCATCTCTTGAATTAAACCGAGCGAACGTTATCATTAAAGACACGGGCTTAACTAAGGTGTCTGACCGACGTCCGCTTCTTCATCGGAACATATAGTGCAACTTTGCTGTTTGGTGGAAATTTTTATATTAAGTTCCTATATCCCCTCATATTTAAAGTCCCGTTCTAACCAGGTCGCATTATGGAGAGACGAAATCGTCCTTTTTATGGTAACAGAAAATCTACGCATCTCAAGGGCGAACTTATTTATCGACAAAGCAGTCTAGCGAGGACTGTAGGCCCTCCAGCCAGTCCTACTATACGCTCTTGCAATTGGAGAGGCCAACCTGATAACTCTTCAGATCACAGAGCCATGAGGAATTGGCAGAATACTGCCATCAAAACGACTTCTGGAAAAGTCCGAATTCTCCGAAAACAAATTATGAGATTGCAAGTATTCAACTCCAAGAACAGCAGCTTACCCTTAAGTGTTAAAAGTCTAAAGTAAAACCGTAATTCGTCATTTTTATGTTAAAATTATTCCTTTTTTAAGGTTAACCTACAAAAATTAAGCCAAAAACTACAAACTGTTCGTCAATATTCCCTTCCCTCGCGCTCATACACAGCAAACCTGCTGTAGTCTGGATTAAATTACTACTGAAATTTCAAGGCACACCTTTTAGATGCAAATTGTAAAATCTTAAACAAACAGCCCGTATTAATTAATTTTTGTGCAGCCGACCGACGGCTCCCAACAGTTCAGGAGCTCAGATGCGTCACGAGGCCTACGTTTTCTAGCTGTGCGGGTTTCGCGTTTTTTTATAACTCGCATCAAGCAAATAATTGTCACTGCCTAGTTGCCTTGTCTCAGGTCCCACTATACCCGAACACCTTCTTCCTCTTCATTTTTAGACTCGAAGATTCAAATTAAATCATGCCAGTTACGGCAAGGACAGTTCCTCTGGGTATGCCTTCTGTTGTACCCTTTTGATTACATTCCCACTTAGAGAGTTTTCCCTTTTTGTGGGGGAGTTAACCGAAGACGTCGACGACTTGGCCCTCTTCAACGCCTTTAAGAAGTATCCGTCCTGCAGATCAGCCAAAGGTATGTTTGGCTTACTCTTTCTTCCCTCACCTAGTCGTCATGAATAACGGCAAAAGCCGAGGTTATGGATTCGTCCGCTTCAGTAGTGAGAGTGACCAGGACAAGGCGCTCATTGAAATGCAAAATTTCTGTGGTCTCGGCTACAAACCCATCCGAGTCAGTTTGGCCATACCAAAGCGCTATACCATGGACGGCAATCTTATCCTTGGTACAGGCCCCGAAACCTCCTCCTCTTTGATTCCCAGTGGTGAGTTGCTCTGCCTTTCTCGTTGTTTTCGTCATTGTTGAGATTTCTTTCGCCGCGGGCAACAATCTGCCAGTGTCACAAGCTTGGGCAAAATGGTATCTTGCTTAGAATTTCGTTTAATATGACTCAAATTGCGTCTCATTTAATTCATCCCGCTCCTTTAATGCTCTTGATGGTAGGACAAAATCAAGACGTTGCATAGGGTTGTTCGCGAAGTGGCTGACTGACTAGCGTCCAATCAAAAGTACTCCCCACTGTTCACTAAACCCGTATGCTGCTCTCTCTGTTGACTTTTAGTAATTACTTCCATAGTCATTCAGCCTGCGGAAACCTGTAGTTTTGCAGACCACTACCATCGATAGTTCGACCGTCGTTTTCGACGATGTCTACCGTATGCTCCACAGTAGACTTGCGCTGCATGTACCCTACCCTCTCTTTTCTCACCCACCTGGGCCCGGCGTCATGACATAGTCAAGAAGACAAAAGGCAGGATAAGCCGTCCCTCCAGTGTGCGCCACAACAACACCTGGCTAGGATGCCATTTGCGTGGGAGTGCCATAACAGTGACATTAAGAAGAAGCCATTACAGCTTGATTCTAGGTCCGCCCGTCAGCCACTCCACACAACAAGACACACACCGGACTGACTTCGTAGTCCGAGTTATCCTGTCAGTTGGCAACCCTCCTCAGGCCGCTTCTTTTAGCCCAGTTTGATAGCTTCAAGCGCGTCAGATCGTTTATACTGAGGAAGGGATTGCGCGGAGTCGTCTACCGCACTTTCTTTCCCACCACCAGCGTCTAGCCACCATCTAGCTGATAGATCGCCTAACGGGAGATGGACGCAGCGGCCGACAGGCCGGCGAATCCGTTTGTG